TATAAACATAAAATTAGACAAGATACTCACAAGCAAGTTTAGAGAGTTTAGGATGTGAGAATTTGTTTCATCAATATAGATTTGATTCATACTATCTCTTTTGGTGTATAAATAAATGTTTGTAATCAAGTGATGAAAGTAGAGCTTGTGTGAGAGTGTGCTTGGAATACATGCGAGTTGAAACTTCTTACTAACATGATGAGCTATAAAATACGACATCAAAATAATTCTTTTGAAAGGATATTTCACCTCAACAAAATATTCTTCAGAGAAAATATTTTTCCAATTAAAATTTTGGAAAATGGAAAATTTAATTGTTCTCAAGATTTGAAATTTAGTAATGCTAATGGTAGCTTTGAAGATTTTCTCGTGTTTTACATAAAATTATCAATGAGTGAAAAAAATATTTTTCACTCAAACAATACAACTTCAAATGTTTGTTGTAAGAAAATGACGACCACTAGATTTGAAGAAGGAATATACGACATAATCAAATACCATGAATATGATGATTATTAGCTTTGAGAGAAACAAGTGAAAACAAACCAAAGATCATGAATCTAAGCAAGATGTTGAGGACAAAACCTTCTATCTACAAAAACGATGATTGGAGATACATCTAACAACAAGCCGTGAGTATTTTTATACTTCATTTGCAACCTTTGTTTCTGAAGCAAATAGATAAGTATGACAAGTGTACTCTATTGTTTGAGGATCTTGAGAAACGGTTTCATTGCAAATAGTTATTATAAAGATTGTATGACTTTTTAAACTAATGAACTTTAAAATAAAATTCAAAATCACATCTATGCATTCGATGATCTTATGATTGATCTTCAAAACCTTGAAGAAAAGACTGTAGATAAGGAAAAATCTACATATCTTGTGAGTTCATTATCTGCATCTTATACATCACTATCACATGTCTTGCTTCATTGTGATTGACATTAATTATGATTTCATCTATCTTTTTATGGCATTGAATGTGACCCAAGGTTGATCATATTCACGTAATTGCAAGTTGACTTAGAATTTTGCAAATATTATATCATAGATAAGCCTTTGATGTTGAAATTCACAGTCTAAAGAGCCTACTCGGGTATGTATACAGTGACAAGTGTATATAGTCTTTCAAAGTTTCACTCTTTGGGAATTTTTACTAGGTATTAATTATTGATAATTACTCAAAGTTTGTGTGAATTTATTTTCTCACACACAAGTCTGAATAAAATATGACTTTCAAAAGTTGTAAAATCCAATTTGAAATTTACACTGGACACAAGGTGAGATATTTACATACGGATAATGACAAGGAGTATAGTTCTAAGGAGTTTTGAAATTATAGCAAAGTGGAGTGTATTGTTCGTCATCTCATCACAATTTATACTCCAGACGAAAATGCTATTTTTGAGAGTTCAACTAATTAGTGTTTGATACTTATATTTTCATATCTAAGTAAAAATTGATCAAGTTTGTTTTAAATCCAAAAGTGTTATTTTTTTTGGATATTCTAATGGTATGAAGGATTATAAGTTGCGGAATTGACTAACTTGAAAAGTTATTATCAAAAGGTATGTTTCTTTCAATGAGTCTAAACCATTGAAAAAAAGATAAAATATTCAGTCTCTCTAACTAATAAGTAAGAATTATCACTCACGTATGTTGTTTAGAGAAAATTGAATCATAACGTGATTAATGATGTGGTACAAGAAGAAGCCTCGGTATAGATGATTCATGATCTTGAATAATAGAAATTAGAGTATCAAGTTATTGTTGATGAGACTCAGGTATTTGTACAATAGGGAATCTTTCATAAGATTATTATCAAATCGGATTAATGGAGGTTTTGAAAGATATGAATTATAGGCTGATTCATACATTTTTGAAGATTGTGATATTGATACAAGGAATAGTGATGACATTGTCTTGATCTTAGAAGAAGGAGATTTTATTTTTTTAATAAAAAATCTCAAACTTCCATCTATGAGCTTGAGTGAAATGTTGTTTTGAAGCATGCGAGGCAATCACTAGTGTATAACAAGAACTATGAGCTAGTGTAGCTATCAATGAGTTAAGCTTTAGTTGATTGCAAGAGTATGTACAAGTTAAAGTACAATCCAATTGATGTCAAGAAGACTATCTTCAAAGCTAGATTGATGGCTACACTATTTATTCAAGAGAAAGATGTGATCTACAACAAAATTTTGTCACATATAGCAAAATATGCTACAATACAATAATCTGATATGTGCACCTGTTGCAATATTTAATCTTTTTTGTGTATCACATGGACATGGTTATAGCAATTCTTTATGGAGATTTTGAGTAGAAAATATATATGAAACAACCAATTGACTTTGTGATGAAAAGTCAAAAGAAAGAGTTTATGGTTAGAAGAATGGTTTAAAAGAAGAAATTATGGTTGAGCCAATGCACATATATTTATTGTTTGTTTCAACAAATTATTCAACAGGTTCAGCATGACCATACCCAAACGAGTATGGATTTTTTTGGCATCACATTTCAAAATTTTTGAAGTTCAATGTTCAACCAATGACATTAAAAAGTAAAAGAATTCATCAATTTTCTATGATAAAGCTTTGTGAAACCTCATGTATTTTATGATGTGCACAAGACGTGATATTGATCTAGCAATAGAATTGTGAGCATAAATACATGTCAAATCAATAAAAGATGTTTTAAAAAGCGATGAATGAAACCTCAGATACTTGAAAAGTACAAAAATTTATAATTTATTGGACAATGCCAAATCTTTGTTAATGCCACATATTAATAAGATGTAGACTATAGGCTATCTACAAGTAGTTAAATGTTTTCATTTAATGATGGATGCATTAGTTAAAAATATACCTTGTAAAGCTGCATACCTTAGTATATAATGGAAAGTTGAATATGTAGCGGCAGTAAGAGCAACAAAAGAAGCTATTCGATTGAAAAGACTTGTCACCGAAATGAAATAAAAACAAGATATTGTCAATCTTCACTATGATAGCTATAGTGCATTATATCTTGCTGCTGATCAAATGATAGACAACGGAACGGAACACATCAACATCAGTATATTAGACATGAAATTTTTGATAATGTATTCAGCTATTCAATCGATGATAAATTCAATCTAGTTGATGCGTTGACCAAAGTTATTTGTTGGAACAATTTTAGTAAACAGTGTGATATTATGCACGTTTTGCATGAATGTAGTATACTAGCATTACTTATCTTCATAGTATTTTTTACTCTATCATGTTTTGGCTATGGCTTAGTTCTCATTACTTCTAGTTTACAACATATGTTGGATTACTTTTAAGATTTACGGTAGAGTAATTATGAAGGTTAAGGAGATTGATGTCTCCAACACATGTTGAAGTAGCGATTGTTACAATCAATGCATGTCTAGGATACCAAAGACTTTAGAATTTTGGTCAGACTTGGCTTTAAGTTTTCTAGTCAAAGTCAGCTAGTTTGGCTGTACTACTTAGCGCAGATAGCAAACTTGTCGCGCTAAACATTATCAGTAAAATCATTGAGTGTTGTCGTGAATTGGTATCAAAGATCATATATATTTCTTTTCTTTATAGATTTTGAAATCAAGTTGCTTGAAATATGTTAAAAAATAATACCAAAAAAATAAAAAATATTTTCACATTAGATAAATAATCATTAGATATGTTGATATTAATCTGAATAAAAAAGAGTAATTTTTTGTAACTGAAAAATATTAGAGATTTCATACTTACTCTTAAAGTGTTAAAATATCTATAGGTTTTTGAAAATGTATTCAAATCTTACAATTTTACTTCATTTTTTGGGTAGATTTTATTTTTACCTAACAATCATGAAAAAAATTAAGCAGGGATTAGTAAAAAAATTCAATCATTAAAAATAGTTGCAATAAACATATTGCTTGTATATAATTTTTAGTTACTAAACGCATTGATGAGTTTAGTACAATCAAAAAATATGTTGGATATTATGATTTTGGAATTGAGTATGAATTCTACGTCTTTAATCACAAATGATCTCTTGGAATTTTGATTTTTGATGCCAGAATCTCATCAATGTGTCCGAGTTGGGGTCTATAATTCCATGGAACAATCAATATATATACATGAACATCTTGACAAATTCCACTGTTCTACTTGGACATGTAGAGTGTATGTAAGCAAAGTACACCAATAGGGGTCTCTCAAGAAAGAATATAAAACCACAAGTAGCATAAAGATTATGATAATGCAGATGTTGCTCCACCAGTATCTCCTTTCATGTGCCAAATCTCAATAGATGCTAGCTATGAAAATTCTAACTTGTAAATCTTAGCACAACTTTCCATTCATATGCATAACTTTTCAACTGAAACAATGAAAGAAAATGAAGATATATAAGAGATCTCTATGCAATTTAAGAAAGGTAATATAGAATCTAACGAATAATAAAACTATTGGAAGTTTATCCATGTAATACGTATATCTTCAACTTGAGCATCATTTAGAAAGATTAAGACAAAAATCCAAATAAATAAAAAATGTTGTTCCAAATCAACCACAAACCTTAACAGCTGGTTTGTACAGTAAAGAGAAATGAAGTACGGAGTAGATAAAAAAATATGGGACTACCATCGAGAGACAGAATAAATTTTAGGCGCTAGATCACCATATTATCACAATGAGATCTATGTGATATAACCATTTCAACATACTGGACAAACTTGTATGTAAACATGGGAGAAGCTCTCCTTTCTTGGTACGAGGAAAGATGTCACATACCAACGTGCAGGCACTATTTGTTGGAAAACGAAGATTTTGTAGAATAGATGATACCAAATATCTAACATGATTCTGTTCACATCTACAGCTCTAATGAAAGTGATATCATTAGCTCATAGTATGAGAGTGCCTTCCGGAATCTATTAGTGTCATGCGGAAACGAGTTTCTAGAGGTGCGTAAAACTTCGAACTTGTAATGTTTAATAAGAGAAGTACTGTAATTACCCGCGCCGGCGAAGGACACGGGCGAAAAACAGGGGGACCCGCCGGAGCGACTGGAATGAGAATCTGTGACAGATCGAAGTGCAGCGGAAGGAGGAGTCAGGAAAAAGGGCGACGCGAGATTCTGGACTCTAGACATTCGGTCGCTGGACGGGCCGGAGTATCGATCTGCCGGATGATGGAGACAAGGGAGATGGATCGAAGAAAGCCGAATTGCCTTGTCGCGTTGATTGTGCTGCTGGCCGCGGCAGTGATCGGCGCGGACGCCTGGAAGAAGGACGAGTTCAAGCGCTGTGATCAGACCATATTCTGCAAGGACGCGAGGAATCGCGTGGACGGCAGCTCCAATTGGTTCGTGAGTGAGGTGAATGTCACCAACGGCAAGGTTAGAGCTCGGTTGATCGAGGGCGGAGAGGGAGAGCACGTCGGGGGCTCATTGATCCTGCACCTGAGTGCCTACGAGGAGGGAATTATCAGGCTCAAGGTGAAAGAGGCCGAGGCCAAACGCAAGAGGTTCGAGGTTCCCGAAGTTGTGGTCAAGGGCTTGGAAGACAGGAGGCTATGGATCCAGCGCGTGATCGAGAAGGACGGAGCCTCGATGGTCGTGCTTGCAGGCTACGAGGTCGTCCTCCTGCATCGGCCTTTCCAGCTGTACGTGAGAAGTGGGAAGGAGACTCTGATTTCGCTGAATGCCAAGGGGCTGTTCCACTTTGAGCAGCAGAGGGAGAAGAAAGAAGGGGAAGATTGGGATGAGAGTTTCCGGAGCCATACTGACTCCCGCCCTCATGGCCCTCAATCAATTGGATTTGATGTGTCTTTCTATGGGGCAGAGTATGTGTATGGAATACCCGAGCGAGCCACGAGCCTTGCCCTTAAACCTACAAAAGGCGCTGACATCGTGTCCGAGCCTTACAGGTTGTTCAACTCGGACATTTTCGAGTACCTCCATGATTCTGTATTTGGACTGTACGGTGCTGTTCCATTCATGTTGTCTCACAGCGAGAAAAGAACGACAGGGTTTTTCTGGCTGAATGCTGCTGAAATGCTCGTCGATGTGATGCCGAAGGAGAAGACGGAGACCGCGGAGGCCTCAAGAATTGACACTCACTGGATAACTGAGAGTGGATCTTTCGATGTTTTCTTTTTCATCGGTCCCGGACCCAAGGATTTGATACGCCAGTATACCACGGTGACAGGCACAAGCACAATGCCCCAGCTTTTTGCCACGGCTTACCATCAGTGCAGGTGGAATTATAAGGATGAAGCAGATGTCGCTCAAGTGGATGCAGGTTTCGACGAACATGACATTCCCTACGATGTGCTGTGGTTGGATATCGAGCACACAGATGGTAAAAAATATTTCACTTGGGATTCTGTGTTGTTTCCGAACCCCAAAGATATGCAGGACAAAATTGCTGCCAAGGGGAGGAAGATGGTGACAATTGTGGATCCCCACATCAAGAGGGATAGTAATTACTACATCCACAAGGAAGCGCAGTCGAAGGGGTTTTATATTAAGGACAAACACGGCCGAGACTACGATGGCTGGTGCTGGCCAGGTTCTTCTTCTTACTTGGACATGCTTGACCCTGAAGTTCGTTCCTGGTGGGCTGACAAATTCGCATACAGTAGCTACCAGGGCTCCACTCCTAGCCTTTACATATGGAATGACATGAACGAGCCTTCAGTCTTCAATGGTCCAGAGGTATGTAATTTTCTGCAGACTGGAAGTCGTAGAGAGAGATTCTTGGAGTCTCTGAAATTCTTTTCGGGTCGAGTATTCAGTCTTTTATACTTGCTGCTTTTTCTTACCTTCTTCTATTTCTTGACAGGCAACAATGCCTAGGGATAATATCCATGTCGGTGAGGTGGAACATAGAGATGTTCACAATGCCTATGGTTACTACTTCCATATGGCTTCATCAGAAGGTTTACGCAAGAGGGCAGATGACAATGATCGGCCTTTCGTCCTGTCGAGGTCATTTTTCGCTGGTACTCAGAGGGTTGGTGCAATCTGGACTGGTGATAATACTGCAGATTGGGATCATCTGAAAGTCTCTGTACCTATGTTGTTGACGCTGGGACTAACTGGCATCACCTTCACAGGTTCGTACCTGCTGGTCTGATGTAGTAAACAAACCACACTCTTCAAGGTTTGGTTGGATTCTGCTATAAATACGAAGTTTTAAAGCGGACCCTCGTTGCAAAATTTGGTCACGTTTTTTCCTTCAATTACTGATCTTCTTTGACTAGTTTTTGCTGTTGTTTCTGGGGAATCAGTTATGCGGTCAGGTACCCATGTTTTTAATCAGCAAGTGTTTCCATCTAGTGGTACTGAAGTTTTTGTATGTAATATTAGGAGCTTGACAATCAGCTTGTATCAAGATAAGTACAGGGTAGTAGTTTAAGGTAAAGTGGTTGACATTGTCTGAGAATGTGTTGATACTTCAAGTAAGTTTTCTCAACTTTGTGAGCATTGTAGGCTAGAATTTCTCACATGGGCGCTTTGTTGGTGACTAATGTGGTATCGACATTTGTACTTTCAATTTTCAGGCGCAGACGTTGGAGGGTTTTTCGGTAACCCAGACCCTGAGCTTTTAACGAGGTGGTATCAATTAGGGGCATATTACCCATTCTACCGTGGACATGCTCATCTAGACACCAAGAGGAGAGAACCTTGGCTCTTTGGGTAACATTCTTGACTCGACAAAGTGTAGACCTGAACCGACTAGGCATGGTGTTAGCGATTTATCCCTTGATTAAGTACCTCCTGAATTTATTAATTTTTCCGCTTCACATTAATGCAAGAAGAAGATAGGTCTAAGCAGACTAAAGCATTTATAATTTTTTTCTTCTCTTGTTTTAACTCTCGTGTTACTGCAGGGAGCCCTACACTTCCCTGATCCGTGAGGCTATTCATACAAGATATGCTCTGCTGCCGTATTTCTACACGCTGTTCAGGGAGGCCAATTTGAATGGACTACCACTTATGCGCCCCATTTGGATGGAATACCCCAAGGAAATTGAAACATATGCAATGGATGACCAATTTTTGCTTGGATCAGATTTATTGGTACACGGTGTCTACTCTGAGGTCAGATTCTATCGAACGAAGAGATAGTCTGCTTATTGTTTTGAATGCGCTTTCTTTCATCTCCAACTTTCTGATTTCATCATCGTGTCATGTGAAATGTTGAGCGTTAAGACGCGTGTTACTTGTGGCAAATTCCGGCGTTGTTGCTTCAGTTTTAGGGCCGGACACATTGCTCAGTAGAATAAGTGTCCTAAAGAGGAGCTAAATGAAATCTTTCCTGCCTCAAGTGTTGTAGATAGTATTATAAATTTCTGACAGAAGAATATATTTGATCTGAATTTGAACATTTTGTTCTTGAACAGCGGGCCACATCAGAGGATGTGTATTTCCCAGGTTCACAGATGTGGTTCGATGTAAGAAGTGGAGCGTCTTATTCTGGTGGTCACACCGTCAAGGTGCCCGTTATTCCAGAATCCATTCCTGCCTATCAACGCGCAGGCAGTATCATACCCCGCAAGGACAGATTTAGGCGCAGTTCGTTCCAAATGGAAAACGATCCGTACACTCTGGTATTGTATTCTTCTCACAGATAAATCTGCTTAATATCCAAGTTAAGCGCATAAGGGAAGATCTGTAACCATCATAATTTTACTTAACATTGTTGACAAAAACATACCAAAGGCTTAAATTGTGAACTTCGGATTGCGACGTTGTTGCATGTTGATTGCGATTCCTTGCTTACATCTTCATTCGGTATTTACGAAACTTACATGGGTATACCGGAGGATTAGCTTGGAGGATGTTTGTACACGTCTCTGTTTGCTAGACTCGGAAGACCTGTGCTGTGAAGTTTCGGACAGTTTGACCTGGAGGAGGGCTAGACAGTTTCTGCTTGGAGGTCATTACTAAAAGTTTAGATGGTCTGAAGATCCAGCTGGGGAAAACTGTGTTGAAAGTGTACTGCATGAACTCTCAGAAGCCAGGGTGCTTGATAGAACTGGAGCAACAGTGATTTTTAAGAGGCTGTGGAATTCACACTTGGCTGCGGTGCAGGATCAATTTTTCTCCTTTTTTTTTGAACAAGATACTAAGAAAATCGTTTCCTACCTGATTTTACTCATAATTTCTAATGCAAATTTTGGGCTCCTTGATTGTTTACAGGTAGTAGCGCTTAATAGCTCCTATGAAGCACAGGGTGAGCTCTACTTAGATGACGGGAAGAGTTACGACTTCGAGAAAGGAGCATTTATTCATAGGCTCTTTACTTTCTCAAAGGGCCGCTTAACGTCTGTGAATCTCGCTCCTACCGAGAAGGGTACAAAACAGTTCAAAACTCCATGCTTGGTGGAGCGAATCATTTTGCTAGGATTGAGACCCAAGGATCTGTCTGCTCACCGTGTCCTGATAGAGTCTTCTGGAGCACAAGTGCCTGCTGAAGTTGGTGCCCCTCTGTTGCGAATTGGCTACCATCAGGCCAATTCTCTAGTCGTGAGAATGCCTAATGTGCGAATCTCAGATGACTGGTCAATAAAAGTTTTGTAGAGGATATCTAGGATCGTAGACATGTACATTAAACTTGTCTAGAGTTAGTCACTTCTTCGTATACTTGACCCACCTATGAGCTTTAATGCCACTTTTCATCATCAAGAGTCTGGTTTTAGTTTTGAGTCTTAGCGAGTTCTCTCCCTCCTTTTCTGTATTACCTTCTTTGTTCTCTTGGTCTTGCTTTCTGTGGCACTTGTAATTGTTTCCGTTTGGTCTTATTACCGAAATATCTGGGATTTTTGAGTTTGGAAATGGCTTTGGAATCTAGAACATAGAACACTGAAGAGTGCTGGCCACGGGCCTTCTCACGGAAGTATGGTAGCTTTACTTGTAGGCGATTGGACTGATTGCAGTGATTACATCAATTGTGTGTCCACCTGATCGCTGAAGAGTTTTAGTAGTGTAAAAGTTGTAGTAGAACACAGTGTCTCCGCTAGGTCTTACATTGATCGGGAATCCCATCCAGTGATCCACTCGGTTGAACTTCTACATGCTCGTTGCGAGGAGTAACGTTATCGGGAAGCCTTGTTAGTCCGTTTAATTTTATAGTTGGATTGCTTTTCATACTGTTGCAGTTATCGGGAAGCCTTGTTCGTCCGTTTACTCTTATAGTTGGAATGCTGTTAATAATGTGGCAGTTGCATACATAGTTTTAAAGAGTTGCGCTTAGCACTGCAAAAAAGTTCCGAGCCCTATCTAAGTTTGACGCGAGAACATATTTACCCCCGAACAAGATACAAGATGGACTTAGTATCAAATTACGCCTCTGGGTACCATAGAGTAAAAGAAAATTGATAGTAGTTGGCTTGGTAGTGCAGGTTTCTGAATAGAACCAGAGCAGTGGATGTAATTCATACTATGGGGTGGGTTTGTCTGTAAGAGCACTAGGATCAGTGCAAGCAATTTGTGGATGATCGGCTTACAGCTGGTTGCATCTATACAAGGCAACGCAGGGCATTTGCTGTGTGAAACAAGACAAGCATTTAAAACGAAATGAACTCAATATTAACAAAAATCTCTGCTACCTTCTTGACCAGGTGAAACCTTCAGATACTCACCCACGATATCATCGTGGGTGAGTAAATGCTTGTCTTGTTTCGCACAGCATTTAAAACGAAATGAACTCAATATTAACAAAAATCTCTGTTACCTTCTTGACCAGGTGAAACCTTCAAACACTCACCCACGATATCATCGTGGGTGAGTAAATGCTTGTCTTGTTTCACACAGCACTTAAAACGAAATGAACTCAATATTAACAAAAATCTCTGTTACCTTCTTGACCAGGTGAAACCTTCAGTACTCATCCACGATATCATGCATTCAGACCTGGGATTGTTTCCACCACTGACATGGGACCAGAGAGTGGACATGGTTATTTTCTATGCCTTAATCTGTGCAGGACAGTAATTCGCGCTGACGACGACCTGAACTCTAGAGCCCAGAGCTTCATGTCTACGGAAAGCATCCCCATCTTAACAATATACACATGCTCAGCCTTTTTCGCTCGTAGTATATAATATCATCGAAAGATTCATTTGTAGTTCTGAGGCTAATCGTAACCTAAACTATCTAGATATCGAAGTGTTGAACATTTTATTGAACCTTTATCTTTATATACTTGATGATTAGATCATGGTACAGTACATTGTGTGTTGTCGACAGCTTATGGTAAATGGGAAATAGATCAAGTCCCGGCACCCTATGAAAAACACATTACAAGTCAAACATTCACCGGTTAAAAGATACTAAAGACCAATCTCTAGCTTGTGTCAAGAGTACTAATCTCTTCCCTAATATAACAACCAAAATTAAAAGTCACTAGCCCTGAAAGAGGAAAGAGATTCTCCATATCTATTTTATGAGCAAGTCTAATCTCTTCATACATAGTACAGTACATGTAACAAACACATGAACTTCATACTCAATATTTCCACCGTCACATAACTTACAGATATGTTTACTCTCATCAATATTAAACCATCGCACTTCTTCAATTCCAAGACTATGAGACTCAGTTATGTGCGGAGCAATAATGTGACAAAAAAACATGGAGATCCCAAAAGTGGGTATTCTTGTTCACAATAAACAAGTATAGGATTAACATGAAGTTTATAAAACTGCATGTTGGTTCTTGGTCTGCTCCAAATAATGTTGAGAAGTTACTTCCCTACATGCTCGCCTAGTGTCATATGTTGCAAATCCTCATAGCGTTCTGCCAAGTTTCACTTCAAAGACCAAATCACCACATATGCTAATAATCCAATGGAGCGTTTGGTACACAAAATTTGAAAAGTAATGCAAGAAGCATAAAAAAATCTCATCCTTCATTTCAAAGATCAAATCATCAAGCCTCCTAATCATCCAATGAAACGTTTGGCAAGCAAAGTTTGAAGAGTAAGTCAAGAAGCATAAAAAAATAACACCCTTCTAATGTAAGTGATGGTCAAGTAAAGAGCTTCAATATCTATAGGTAAACAACTTGTTTCTGCAAGGAGAATAATATGTGAAGTTTGATTTCTTACATCTAATTCTTCTTTTACTAAGATATTTTGCATCTTATCCACACGCTACCACCCTGGGCTTCACACTAGGGTTTAATATAAGAATACCGGCTACACTAAGCTCTTAAATAAGTATTTTCTAAGACCGCAAGATACTATATGATCTCTTTTACATCAATTTAACAATGAATATAGAGCTTTGTAACGAGCTCTTACTCTCTTTTGCACACAAAATGCCCAATTATTGTCATTTGCGAAATCTATACTTAGATATTTGTAAATTTTTATTATTTTTAATTATAGATTTTTGTAAGAGAACAAAAACTAGAATCCAGTGATCACATGATGACTTTGGACTTCTTCATATTTACCTACATTTGATTTGGAGTACAAATCTTGCCAAATGTTTAGTTGTTTTTAGTAAACCAATGTCATCACTGCTAGTACAGTAGAGTAGAGCTTTGATGACAAAGTTTTCAACCTTGACATCTTCATTATCACATTTTTCCAATCACTTTTTGATATCTACTATAAAAACTCTAAATAGAAAATGAATGAGTACAATATTGAATGAGCAGTTGATCTTGACAGGATCATAATTATATAACATGGTCACAACTATTAGAATATCTGGTGGTATTCCAGTAGCTTGCAAACTTTCCCACAAGAGCTTACAAGGTAGAATGTCAAAATCGTTTTTGAAATCAATGAAGCCGCAAAATAAAGCGTTTTACTACCATTAAATTTCTCCCATAAAACACGAAAGTCCAAGATATGGTCAATGAAGTCCAAAAATATATTGATTATTGTCTTGGATATGAAGTTGTACAACTCAATGAAGCATTGAGTTGATAGATCTTAAACATGATGTGTGCGATCAAGAAAAAACATGATATTTATAATCAAGCAATATTTTGTGAAAGTATCCACGCGACATTACAAGTATATAGGTTATACTAAATCTAAGAGAAAATTAAACATGAAAGTTTACAAAGAATTAAAGAAAAAATTTATAATCAATTTAATTACATTCAATTTGTTCCTGATGGACTTCATTAAGTTTGCAATTTTTAAGCAACAAGTTTTAAAGTTCTTGCAACTTAATGAACAAATGATGCTTAAGATGAAAGAAAATATCACTTATATAACATAACAAGATATTACATATGCTCATGAATTGATCATCATGGACTTTATCTGATATTATTCTAAGATGTACAAGATGAATAATTACAGGTCAAATTCAGAAAATATGCATTGAAAAATTGTGAACTGGATTTTCACGTGTTTCAAGAATACTAGGAGAAGAAATAGTATTTTGTTTGATGATCTACAAAACAATTTCACATATTTGTTATGTTATATTAATACTTGTAATTGATAAGATTTGGACGAAAATTTCATTTATAACTAGATATATGTTGACACTTCATGGTGAATTTATAATTTGGAGATCTATTTGTAAAAATGCATAGCTTAATAAAAAAGTAGAGTCAAATATGTAACGATAACAAAAGATACAAAGTATATCATTTGATGAAATAGCTTTACCTGATCGGTAAAGCTCTTATTTTTATTTCCGACAGTGAGGTTTACCATTTATCCACGTTCAAACAGGTAGTATTGAGATAGATTTGAAATATATGTTATTAATTTATTTTTTTATAGTAAGATTGGATTATATGTTACAGCTAGTTATATACTTTCTACAGCAAAAGAAGCCCATTGAAATTAAAAATAAATTTATCATATATTTAGTATTTTTGAAAAGATTGAGAGTAAACTTACTATTGCTGATGCATAGATGAAATGTTTTTGTTGAAAAAGTTATAAGAGACATGATACTAATTTGTAGTTGTTGCATAAGTCACGCAAGTGGAGGTAGCAATAATTTTTTATATAATTTTATCTCTTACTTGGCTTTCACATAGAATAACATATATCAACTTTTATCTACAAATCCATGCAAAGTAATCATATTATTTTTAGAAGTTAAAAAATTTAAAATATGAATCAAGGAAGAGATTGTTAGTTGTTAATTTCAAGTCTTATGGAATGGATTTAACAACTAACAATCTCTAACTCTAGTTTATATGAATAGGATTAATCTATCATTATATATGAGAGCTGATCGTCGAATTTAGGATTTTTGAGTAAAAAGCTGTATTTTCTTCATCAAAAACACTTTAAGATGAACTACGTACAAGTTTTGCAGCATGATGGTATGTGATTGATTCTCGTGATAAAATTTTGACAAGATTTTTACGTTATTCTAAACAATCCAAATGTCGCATCTGAATCTAATTTTTATAAATTTCTAACTTTTGATGTCAAGTATCAAGCATTTCTTGCACTAAATATTATATGATAGTTTCTTTTAATAACTTTAAACTAGTTGTTAACCATATCAAACTAAGTAAAGGAATGAAAAATTCCTACTTAAACATGGACTCATCCCTAAACTTGGAATTGATTTCTTGAGTCTATAACGCCTTTTGATATATAAAATTTCCAAAGTCTAGATAACCTTGTTTGACATGATCAATGACTAATCACAATCTTGTTATTGTCTTTAGCTTTTTTAATTCTCTCGATCTTCTTGTACAGTTGCAACAAGGCTATTATCTCAATTGCTTCTTCTAATACCTCA